ACTCTGGCAGCAACTACCTCAGCCTTTTTCCTTTTATTTTTTCTTTTCTTTTCATGATGATAGTGGTGAGGCCCTGCCTCCCCTGCCAGCACGTCCCTGTTTTGTTCCTAAGGCGGACTAGAACTCATGGTCTTCCAGTTTCTAATTTAACACCTTAACAACTGCGCCAAACTTGCTCTCTTAAATAGAAGTCTAATATCCTACCTACATTATTTATTTCATTTCTATGCATAAAACTGCGCTATTAATTTTCCACTATTTATGACTAAATTCTTGCACAAGAAAGTAAAGCATAAAAGTAAGATCAATCATTGCCTTATAAAATGTTCACATTTTTAGGAATTTGTCAACAGGAAATTAAATGTTGGTTTAAAATATATATTAATTTAATCAAATGAAACAATATTAAACTACGATTGCCATATACAATATTTTAATATTATTTTAATACTCTCTGGTATCCTGAAAGCAGAAATAGTATGAATCATATTTACTATTATTATTTATATAATATCTCATACAACTTTCCATATTCTCTATGTTTAGATATACATAGTTTTCTTCTTTTGTTAGCAGATGGAGAAAAAAACTTAATACAAGCTTTAACCATGTGAAAATAGGACATTAAAATAAATAAAAAATATATGTCAAATTGTACTGCTTTTCTATGGGTGGACAGGAACCCAATTAAGTAAACAGAACAACAAAACCCTGATAGCTTTGGCTTCATTATTACTTTCAAAGGCCAGATTCATAGAGCAATTCAGAATTGTATCTGAACAATTCTGGGATAGTTTTTCTTTTAAAAACTCTGATTGTTGAAGAAGGTTTCTATTGATGAGAAGTAAAAAAGTACGGGTGAATCTATAAAAATCAATTCATAATCAGACTGAATTACAAGTCATTTATTTATATGGACCATTCTCAATGGACTCTCAAAATGCACTGTAATTCAACTTTGCAAGGAAGGGATAAGAGGGAAATGTATATACTCAGTATGGTATAAAAGAAAAGCATAAAGAAAAACAGATAAAACTAATTTCAATGCACTCAAGTGTTAATAGCTTTTATGTATAAATAATAGATTGCAGGGGATTACATATTTATTAACTTGATTAAACTTGACTCATACATCCCAGTAAACATGAAAAATTGCCTTTATTGGAATAGAGTTATTATAATAGCACATATAAAATTTAATATCCTGGTATAGTTTAATATATTATCTTGTTTACTTTCTTTAAACAAAACAACCCTCTCTGCTACTATTTAATTAAAAAAACTACTCACTGTATTCTATTAACATGTGCATTACATGGAAGGGTGTCCAACAAATAGCAAACAAAACCACAACAGTCACCATCATCACAATTGCTCGCTTCTTCTTTCTGAAAAGAGAAATAGTTTGGACTGTTGATCAAAATAATTTTGATAATAAGGAGGCAATACAAATAATTTGTATGATGAAAACCTAGATCTCAGTAGGAAGGAAGATACTTTGCATTCAGAACATCCTATTTTCATATATCTAATTAAATGTTTAACATTTTATTTTATTATTTTGTTTTTTATTACATTTTATTTTTAAAATAAATTATATCCTGCCCTTCTTGAGAACATTCTCTATACAGAAAGACAGGAAATGACAATCCAAAATTAAAATAATTTAAAGGTATGCTTTTAAAACTGTGATAGCGCAGTGGTTAGAGTGCAGTACTGCAGGCTAATTCTGCTGGCTGCTGCTGCCAGCAGTTTGGCAGTTTGACTCTCACCAGCTCAAGGTTGACTCAGCCTTCCATCCTTTTGAGGTCAGTAAAATGAGGGCCCAGATTATTGTGGGTAATATGCTGATGTTTGAGGAAAAGGAAAGAATTTTTAAAAGCATACCTT